CTGGGATAATTCTATTAGGCACTTTGGAAATTTTGAAATATTGTTCAAAGGTAGGATTATTTTTTGTCATTTTAATATACATTCTTCTATTGAGGTATAATTGACATACAATATTATGTTAGTTTCAGGTGTACAACATAATGATTTGTTATTTGTATGTCCTTGCAAGATGATCACAATAATTCTAGTTAACATCTGTCACCATACATAGTTACAGAATTTTTTCCTTTTTTTTATAATGAGGATTAATAATAATTTAAAAATTAGTAGGGTGGGGGCGCCTGGGTGGCTCAGTGGGTTAAGCCGCTGCCTTCGGCTCAGGTCATGATCTCAGGGTCCTGGGATCGAGCCCCACGTCGGGCTCTCTGCTCAGCAGGAAGCCTGCTTCCTCCTCTCTCTCTGCCTGCCTCTCTGCCTGCTTGTGATCTCTGTCTGTCAAATAAATAAATAAATAAATAAATAAAATCTTAAAAAAAAAAAAAAGAATTAAAAAAAAATTAGTAGGGTGAAACATTTCTTTCCTACACACAATATTCCCCCCCTTTTTTTCACTTTTTTTTATTATGTTCAGTTAGCCACTGTATAGTACATCATCAGTTTTTGATGCAGTGTTCAGTGATTCACTAGTTGCGTACAACACCCAGTGTTCATCACAAAACGTGCCTTCCTTAGTGCTCATCACCTGGTGACCCCATCTCCCCACCTCCCTCCCCACTGAAACCTTCAGTTTGTTTCCCAGAGTCCATAGTCTCTCATGGTTCATCTCCCTCCCCAATTTCTCCCCCTTCAATTTTCCATCCCTTCCCCTATGGTTCTCTGCGCTATTCCTTATAGTCTACATATGAGTGAAACCATATAATTGTTTCTCTGCTTGACTTATTTGACTTAGCATAATCTCCTCCAGTTCCATCCGTGTCGATGCAAATGGTAGGTATTCATTCTTTCTGATGGCTGAGTAATAGTCCATTGTATATATGAATCACATCTTTTTTTATCCATTCATCTGTTGAAGGGCCTCTTAGCTCCTTCTGCAGTTTGGCTATTGTGGACCTTGCTGCTAGGAACACTGGAGTGCATGTACCCCTTCTTCTCACTATACCTGTATCTTTGGAATAAATACCTAGTAGTGCAATTGCTGGATCATAGGGTAGCTTTCTTTTTAATGTCTTGAGGAACCTCCATCCTGTTTTCCAGAGTGACTGTACCAGCTTGCATTTCCACCAACAGTGTAAGAGAGCTCCCCTTTTTCCACATCCTTGCCAACACTTGTTGTTTCCTGTCTTGTTAATTTTTGCCATTTTAACTGGTGTAAGGTGATAGCTCATTGTGATTTTGATTTGTATCCTGCCACATTGTTGAAAGGACAGCCTTTGCAATATCCCATAGGTTCTGGACCAATGTGTTTTCATTCTCATTAGTTTCCATGTTTAAGTTCTTCCCTAATTTCCTTGTTGACCCAGTCATTTTTTAGCAGGCTGTTCTTTAACTTCCACATGTCTCAATTCCTTCCAAATTTTTTCTTGTGATTGAATTCCAGTTTCAAGGCATTGTGGTCTGATAACATGCAGGGAATAATCTCAATCTTTTGGTATTGGTTGAGACCTGATTTGTGACCAAGTATGTTATCTATTCTGGAGGAAGTTCCATGTGCATTCAAGAAGAATGGGTATTATGTTATTTTAGGGTGGAATGTTCTGTATGTATTTACAAAGTCCACCTGGTCCACTGTGTCATTCAAAGCTCTTGTTTCTTTGTTAATCTCCTGCTTAGATAACCTGTCCGTTGCTGAGAGGTCTCCTACTATTAATGTATTATTATCAATATGATTCTTTATTTTGGTTAATCGTTGGCTTATATAGTTAGCTGCTCTCATGTTGGGGGCAGAGATAATTACAATTGTTAGATTTTTCTGTGGGATAGACCCTTTAAGTATGATAATAGTGTTTCTTTACATCTCTTACTACAGTCTTTGGTTTAAAAATCCAATTTGTCTGATATGAGAGTTACTACCCCAGCTTTCTTTGAGGTCCATTTGCATGATAAATTGTTCTCTATCCCCTTACTTTCAATCTAGAGGTGTCTTTAGGTTCAGAATGAGTCTCTTGTAGGCAGCATATGGATGGGTCCTGTCTTTTTATCCAGTCTGAAACCCTGTGCCATTTAATTTTTCAGGCTGTTCACGTTGAGACTAACTATTGAAAGATATGAATTTAGTGCCATCATATTGCCTGTGAAGTCCCTGTTTCTGTAGATTATCTCTGTTACTTTCTGGTCTATATTACTCTTGGGGTCTTTTTTCTTTTATAGAGCCCCTCTCTCCCTTGGCTGCCTTGGTGGTCACATATCCTTTCACTTTCTGCCTGTCCTGGAAGTTCTTTGTCTCTCCATCCATTCTGAATGACAGCCTTGCTCAATAAAGTATTCTTGGTTGCATGTTCATCTCATTTAGTATCCAGATTATGTCTTGCCAGGTCTCTGTGGACAGGTCTAATGTTATTCTGACATTCCTCCCTCCATAGGTAAGACATCTCTTCCCCCAGCTGCTCTCAGGATAGCTGCCTTGGCTCTAAGATTATCAAGTTTTACTATTACATACCAGGCATTGGTCTGTTTTTATTGATCTTGGGAGGGGTCCTCTCTGCCTCTTGGACACGGATCCTTCTTTTCTTCCCCGGAGTAGGTAAGTTCTCAGCTATGGTTTGCTCAAGTATACATCCTTGTCCTCTCTCTCTCTCCACCCCCTTAGGGATCCCAATAATTGTGACTTTGGAAAGTTTCATGGTGTCATTGATCTCTCTACTTCTGATCTTATGAGCTTGTAGTTGTTTATCTCTATCATTCTTGACTTCCTTCCTTCCTATCAGCTTATCTTCTAAATCACTAATTCGTTCTTCTTTCTTATTGACCCTGGCATTCAGAGTATCTAGTTTGGATGGCATCTCCTTCATAGCATTTTTAATGTAGGCGACAGTTAGCTCTACATTCTGCCCTTAGAGATTCTATACTGTTTGTTGCTAATAGTTTTCTCAAGCCTAAAGAGCAACTTTATAAATGTTACTCTGAAGTCTTTTTCTGACATCTTCCTTAGATCCATATCCATTAAGTCTGTGGCAGAGGCCATTGTCTCTGGTTCTTTGCTTGGTTGGCAGTTCCTCCTTCTAGTCATTCTCTTGAGGGATGGTTGAGGGAATGTACAGAGTCCAAAATATCAACCATGACTCAGGCAAGATGAACCTGAGGAAAAGCTGGAGTGTCAGAAGCCACCACTCACCCCCCGTGGTTTTTCCAGCATGTAGAGATCTAGATAGATATTCTTACATCTCACGCTGATTTTGTGGGTGTTCAGGATGGCTTGGTAGATATCCAACTCAATTCAGGGAATCAGCAGTGGCAACGAGGTTCCCTACTCCTCCGCCATGTTGCCTCTCTCCTCAATATTCCCTTTTAGTTTAGCTTTCTTGAATGCATGGTATAGCAAATCTGCCTTGTCTGTAAGAATATAGTTATTTCCTCCCATAAGTGATTTTTTTCTGTATTTCCCTTGCTTGAAATTCTTTGTTTTTCTTTTGGTGAACTTTCTTGTATTTATAAATACATGAGTTGAAAATGGTTGATAGCAGTTATGGCAGGATTTTGGCAACGTTGAAAGTTTTAGTAACCAGTAGAAGTAGTGTTTGTTTTCCTACCTGCTCTTTGTCCTCATTTCCCTCTTTCCTTAGCAGCCGTATGTGGATCTTTTCAGAGGTTATGTTTTCACTTGTCAGCCCTGGCTGTTGGAGGTCTATTTTTGTAGGATAGGACTGTATTGTTTAAAGTTGTGGAGATGGTGGAATAAATTATTTTTAAATTATTTTTTTGGTGTATATACATGCATGTATATATATGTATCTTAAAAAAAAAAGATTTTATTTATTTATTTGACACAGAGCACAAGTAGGCAGAGAGGCAGGCAAAGAGAGAGGGGGGTGGAAAGCAGGCTTCCTGCTGAACAGAGAGCCGGATGTGGTACTTGATCCCAGGACCCTGAGATCATGACTAGGCCAAAGGCAGAGGCTTAACCCACTGAGCCGCCCAGCCACCCCATACATGTAGCTTTTAATGGGGCTTTTTCATTTGAGAATTGGATTGTTAGGTTATTTGGAATATTTAGTCATAAGTTGAGTTCCAGAGAAAAAGTGTCCTCACTCTCTGCCCCTTATGTCTTCATAAAATTCACAATGTTGCAAAACAGGAATAGCATACATCAAGAAGTGTGGCAATAGGAAGAAACATTTGGTTTTACTGTGAACAAGGAAATTTTCCAGGAACTTAATTTTGTTTTTCATTTTGTAGACTGTATATATTTGTTAACATTTTATACAAATCAGTTTATTTTAAAATTAAATTTATTTTAATTAATTTTTGTGTGTGTGAAGCCACTTTGGGTTGGTTTCCTTTCCATCACCTCTTAATAGGTTGAGGCAGTTGGTGAGTTCAAGTTTAGTCTTTGCTTTAGTGCATGTAATTCTGCTTTGGGGGTTCATGTCTATTTCACTAGCTCTTTAAGCCACGTGGATTTGTGTTGGAAAACGCATCTGATTTCTTTCTTGATCTTTCTCAAGCCTGGTTTGAACCTTGGGAAAACAACTGCAGCCTTCACTGCCTTATTACTCTCAGATGGAGATTTTATTCTTTAGGGTTTACCAAGATGAGCTTTGGAGGGAACCTCAGAACAGACAGATTTATGACTTGCAGGGACAGAAGGTGCAGTGTTTTAAGAACTAGAAGAATCTTTTCTTTCTTATTACTGGTTGTTGAAAGATAACGCATGGGGTGTCATCATCCTATTTTTTTTTAATGTGAATTTTATTTTTCGTGTAACTTTTAATGTCTTATTTAGAAATGGATATCTTAATATTTTTACATTAGCTATTTTTGTAAAATGTGTCAAAGTATTGTGGAATGTAAGGTATAATTCACAAGTTTTATATCTCACTTACTGTAAAACTCTTCTCTTTTAGGCATATGGATCAGGCTGTGATATTGTTATTTTGGCAAGTGACTTTGAGTGTGTGCAGATCATTCCTGGTGCTAAGCATGGAAACATCCAAGTCAGCTGTGTGGAGTGTTCTAACCAACATGGAAGAGTAAGGGATCTAATTACCTTATTAAATGTCATCTTTTAATGTATTCTTATCTTTATATACTAGGGTTACCTATAATTTCTTATTAATATACTTTAGATGGGTATTGGTAGGTGTGGATAAAGTGGAAGATGTCTACAAATTGTAAGGTGCCATTAAGCTGATAATGTGATTACTTACCAGTGTATATACTCTTTTTTTTCTGTGCATATACTCTTGTAAGATCTGTGGACCTCACAGCCCAGTGCACATTGATATTCTGCCAGTTGATAATTCTAGCAACTATTAAGCCAATAATAGGGAAGTCAGCCTTTATTTCCTCTGTGTAGCATTCCTTATCTCACCCAAATTATAACATTAAAAGTTTTTTAAAAATTAAAAAAAATTTTTTTAAAGACTTTATTTATTTGACAGATAGGGATTACAAGTAGGCAGAGAGGCAGGCAGAGAGAGACGGGGTAAGCAGGCTTCTGGCTGAGCAGAGAGCCAGATGTGGGGGCTTGATCCCAGGACCCTGAGATCGTGACCTGAGTCGAAGGCAGAAGTTTAACCCACTGAGCCACCCAGGTGCCCCTAACATCACATTTTTATCAAGAAATTTAGCAACTTGTGTCTAATATAATATTTGGCATATAACAGCTGCTTTTTAAAACTTCTGTTAATTTAATGAATGTTTATTTGTTGAGTGAAGACTCTTAAGGTTCTTTCATTCAAACTTTTAGACAGAAGGTCTATTTTGAAATAGTTCACATTTCATCATATGTACATCTTGTCTTCCCCCAAATATACAGCAAATGTAATATATATCAAATTGTGGTTATACATAAAGTAAATATAGCATACTTGTGGTATACTCTAGCAGTTCAGTAAAGCCAGTGTTGCGCAGAAGAGTTAAAAGTCTGTATAATATAAAGATGAACTTTTCAGGGCACCTGGGTGGCTCAGTGGGTTAAAGCCTCTGCCTTCGACTCAGGTCATGATCTCAGGGTCCTGGGATCGAGCCCCACATCGGGCCCTCTGCTCTGCGGGAAGCCTGCTTCCTCCTCACTCTCTGCCTGCCTCTCTTCCTACGAATAAATAAAATCTTTAAAAAAAAATGAACTTTTCTTGTAATAATTGTAATAATTTAAATAGTTTTAGTGTTCTAGAAATTTTTTTAAGATTTTATTTATTTATTTATTTGACAGCGACCACAAGTAGGCAGAGAGGCAGGCAGAGAGAGAGGTGGGGAAGCAGGCTCCCTGCTGAGCAGAGAGCCTGATGAGGGGCTCCATCCCAGCACCCTGGAACCATGACCTGAGTTGAAGGCAGACACTTAAATGACTGAGCCACCCAGGCGTACCCAGAGAAGAGATTCTTAAGTCCAGTACTTTTTTAGTTTTACTCGTGGAATGGAATAAATCATAAATACTGTCTTGAGATTGTATTATATGTAATTAGTTTATACATTATTGTGAAAGGATGTTGTCTTTATTTTCTTTTCCTAAATGTTAATGCTTTGTTCATTTCTTTTTAGATTGCAGCTTCGTATGGTAATGCTGTTTGTATTTTTGAGCCGTTGGGTGTAAATTCTCATAAGAGAAATTGTGTAAGTATTAAATGGTAATAGAAATTTTTTGGAGTTAAGTTTAGAGTCCAGTCGATAGTAGTGAAGAGCTCCTTAGGAGCCAGTGCTAAAGGTAGTCTGGAATATACATGTGAAGATGGTCTGGTGCTTTATGGGAAGATCTTTTACATCTACTAGGAATATACTTAAACATTTAGGCAATCTAGTTTTCTACAATATTGCTAATTGAGATTTACCTTGCTAGTTGGGATCAACCTTAGTTGAACTACTATTATTTCTTGTCTAGATTACTAGAGTAGTCTCTGATATGTTTTATTTCCCCCTTCCCCTTCTCTATTCTCAACAGCAGGTCATGACACAATTCTCTGCTTCAAACTCTATATTTCTCATAGACTCAAAGCCAAAAAGCCTTAAAATAGACTAGTCTTTCTTCCCTCTAGTACCCCCTTACCACCTCTCAGAGCTCAACTCCTACTATTTTTGTCCTCTCCGATGTCACTTCAGCCACAGTGGCATTTTTACTGCTCTTTGAACAGTGATTTCCCATCTTAGGGTCTTTGCACTGTTTTTTCTCTTGTCTAGAATGTTTCTTTCTCTAGACAACTTTAGAGCCAGCTCCTGCAGATCCTATAAATCTTTGCTCAATAATACCCTCTCAGTGGGGTCCACCCATTTAAAAAAGTTGCCATTTGCTTCTGCCACCTTTATTTTAATCCCCATTCTCCTGTTTTAAGTTTTTTTCCATAGCGCTTATGTTGCTATATTTGTTATTTATTGTTGAGAGTGTAAGCTCCGCGGGAGGGTATGTATGGGGCTTTGTTTCTTTTGGTCACTGATGAATCTGAAGTACTTAGAACAGGATCTGGAACATAACAGATGCTTCTAAATTTTTATTTAATGAAGGAGTTAGGAACTTAAGTAGAGTCAACTATCAGCTGAATGATCTAGCATATCACATTGAGAACTATTCAAATTCATTCTGGGTACTGTATGTTATTTTATTTAAAATTCAGAAAACCTTATATGGTTACAATCATCAGTCCTTTTAAAAATCATTACATGCATTAAGACTCCATTATCACTCACAAATAGTCGAAAATGCCAGTGTGAAATCTGAATGCCAGGAGTATATATTTACCAGTAATTTTAAAAAAGTGTGTTCTTAAATGCATTAAAAAAGTAGATTTGATATTTTTTTAAATTATGCATTTGTTTATTTAATATTTCAAAAAAAGTACAAATTAAAATATGATAGTATGAGGAAGTGGATATCAAATTTAAGAGTGATTAAGAGTCACCTAGGGTACATATTAAAATTCAGATTCCAGACCTCACCCTCAAAATTTCTGCTCTGGAGTTGGCCCACATATTGCACTGTGAGAAATACTAAAGGAAAGAATATTAAGGGTGTTTGTAGTTTTAAGGAATGATTTGATTATTACTCTAAAATAGATCTATTGAGCAGTATTTAAAGCAGTATTTGACTTTTGTTTGATCAACAGTAGAAGGGTTAAAAAAGCATTATATTAAAAAATACAAAATTATTTTTGGATAATGAAATTCAGGTTTTGCAGTTATTTTAAAATTCTGTGTCTTGATAGTCAAATTACCTTGAATGAAGTATTTGTGAAGTATTCAGAAAATATAATGAGAGGGAATTGCTGTGTGTTAAACTATTACTACTTGTCAAACAGTTGATCTATAACTTGCCTAAGGTGACATGGCTTTACATTGCACTATATTTCACAAAAGGACATTTTATATTTATGTGCTACAAAGAAATACCTAAACTGTTTTTCACTCTATTTCATTACAAAGGTCTTTGACTCTTACACTTTAAATCTTCTTTCTACCTTTTAGTATGAAAATGGTAAGAAAAAGGATGGAAGTCATACAAATGAATACAACATATGTCATATAGGTTTAGGGACTGTATATATTGTATGGTTCAAATTTGCTGACTTTGGGAGATATTTCCAGTTTATTTTAGACATTGAGTCCTTAGGATTATGATAATTTGCATTGCTTTCTAATGTGCATTTATTTTGTTTTCACAAACATTTATTGAGTGTCTGCATATGTTCCAGCCATTACAGCACTCAGGACGCAAAGCTTATTATGGGTAATTACTGCCCCGAAGAGTTGGAGTTTAATAGGAGAGTCAGACATATGAATGGGTAAAGCTCTAGTGTGACCACTGTTAAAATGGTAGTGGGTAGAGTGGTTTCAGTGCTGCCAGGATATCAGAAGAGGCCTCCCTGCAGAGGAGATGATTTGGTTGGGTCTTGATGGCAGCATAGCAATTTGCAGGTGAAGAGGAGAGAAACCGCATATCCCAAGTGTGAGAATGTGTTCATAGACGTGGAAGGAAGCCTGAGAGAATATGCTTTGTTTGGGTGTGGCAAGTAGCTTGATATGGTAGGATAAATAGTAAGTGGAACTATCCGAAGTTATTTTAGAAACAATATTTTGAAAATAAATATTTACATCTTTGCTTTAGATCATAAGGTCTTAAGAAAATGGTAAAATGGTAGTATTGTGGATATTACTTTAAAAAGTTACGTTTTTCTTTTTTCTTTGTTTCAGCAATTGAAGTGTCAGTGGCTTAAAACTGGGCAGTTTTTTTTGAGCTCTGTGACGTACAATTTAGCATGGGACCCTCAAGGTATTTGGTGATTATATTTAGGAATTATGAAGAGTAAATATTGGTTTTAAATGTATGATTACAATGTGATATAATCTCCCATAATAAGAAAGTGATCAGTAGTGTATTTTCTTTTTGCTGGTGGATGAGTATGTATTTTATTTCTTGGTATGTGCTGCTTTGTACAGTGCTTAATTTACTGTTATTTCTGTGCTTTCCCCCCCTGCCTTTGAATGCCTTATTCCAAGAAACAGTGATGATTTGTTTCCTTAGTTATTAACATGTGCTGTCCTTTACTGTTACTGCATTTAGTAAGAAATAAAATCTGAAATAGGGCTAAAAAAACCCCTGTCTCATTTTATTATTTGTGTTTTAGGCAATTTTTGTCTTTAAATTCGAAAGATTAGACACTTCTAATGATAATAGCTATTGCTTCTTTTTACATTCATGATTAATAAAGGTAATTTTTATATTACATATAGAAAAACAAGTTGCATTAATCTTTAGTTAAGTTTTTTTTTTTTTTAAAGATTTTATTTATTTATTTGACAGACAGAGATCATGAGTAGGCAGAGAGGCAGGCAGAGAGAGGGAGGGGGAAGCAGGCTCCCTGCTGAGCAGAGAGCCCGATGCGGGGCTCGATCCCAGGACCCTGGGATCATGACCTGAGCTGAAGGCAGAGGCTTTAACCCACTGAGCCACCCAGGCACCCCTTTAGCTAAGTTTTATATCCTGAGAACATTCTGTGTTTATATATCAGAGGTTTTTGGGGTTGTTTTTTATGAACATTCTGTGTTTATATATCAGAGGTTTTTGGGGTTGTTTTTTATTGTACTTTTTCTTTTTCTTTTCTTTTCTTTTTTTTTTTTTTTTTAGATTTTCCAGATATACAATAGCTCTTTAGCTTTTTGCCGGTAAGCGTTTCTTTTTTGTTCTCAAGTCTCTGCTGAGAACTGCTCTCTCTCTGGTAGTGGATTCTGGGATTTGAAATGGATATGCCCCACGTATTTTTCATAGGTGGTATTGCTTATTATTTTTTACAGAAAAGTTCATAGACCTAAATACAAGCCCACATATGCATTTCTTTCTCCAGATAATCCTTGCTTATTCATCAGGGCTTTCTTTAAATTTCAGATAACAGATTGTTGACCGCAACTGATTCTATTCAGTTGTGGGCTCCTCCAGGAGATGACATTCTAGAAGAGGAGGAAGAAATCGATAATAAAATTCCTCCAGTTTTAAATGATTGGAAGTGCATCTGGCAGTGCAAGTTCGTATCCATGTTGTTCTGTTCATTAATTTAAAAAAGCTTCCTAAAATATATTCCCTTTCACAGTGATCTCTATTTTTTGATAGTACCATTACATTTAGAAGCCTAGAAAGTGGACTTCTTCTAACCAAAACCCATTATACTGTTATCCTTCAGTCTGTGCTGTAGTTGATTGTTTAAAAAAAGCAAAAATATTTTCATAGTTATAACTTCAGAATTTGGGTAGATAAGATTGACATGTGGGAATTACTCATTAATGGATGAGATATGGATGGGGATGTGGAAGGGGAAGATGTGATGAAAATTACCAGCCACTCTTAAGTGGAAGAATGGCTGTACAGTTGACAGGATGGATTATGTGAGGGGGACCAATCAGCCAGGGAGGATGGTGAGCTCAGTTTTTAACATGTTGCATTGAAGATGTTGGTGGGACATACAGGGGAACATATCTTTTCTGCATGTTGATTGCATTCTTCTTTGGCTCTCCAAAGTGAAATTCAGATTAGTTTTATTAACAAATTTGTATTTTGGGGGAGGTGAAATTTTTTAGTTTTAGAAAACTCTCTTGTTAGGAAAATCTTATTTTGATCATTTATATATGCAGTGTTTCAGATTTTTAAAAATTTGACTCTTTAACTTTTTCTTTTTTTTAGAACCTCAGTATCTGTACATTTGATGGAATGGTCCCCTGATGGTGAATATTTTGCTACTGCTGGAAAGGTAAAGAACCAAAGAAAACATAAAAGAAAACAATTAAAAACGTTCCTTTTTCATTCTCATTTTCAGTTTTCTCTTCTGTAAAATTGGGATAATCCTACTCTGCAAAGCTGGCCTGAGGAATAGTGATAGTATTTGTGAAAGGTCTGGTATGTTGCCCATAGGTAGGAGGCACTTGGGGAAATAAAGAACTGCTGCTGTTGCTGTTATTATTATTATTTGTCCGTTCTTTAAAACTTATATTTTATAAAATTAGTTTTTATGTTTAAAGAATAGTAAATGTAAGTAATTTAAAAAGCAAAATAGTACTACTAGACTCACAATGCAAAGAAGCACCCCTTTCACTCCATTCTTAATTCCTGTGTCCCAGAGGCAGTTACTCATCAAATTGTGTATTTTGGTGTTTCCTTTCAAGTTCCTAAAATAACTTGCTTATGATCCCATTTCTTAACTTCTTTTCCTTTCAGTTTTATGCATCCTCTCTTGCCTCTGTACTATGGAAGCTGAGACTTGAGTCTTCCAGCTGCTGTCCCCATCTCCACTTGTGCCACATACACATGTTCACTTTCCTTCCTCCCATCTTCCTACTGTAGGATGGCTATAATACTTGGGTAAATGTTCACATTATTAAGATTGTGTAGAAACTCTTTGTAGAATAATTACTTTGGAGTTACCAGTTACTTTTTTTTATTCTTTGCTTCATTTTCTATATACCTAATTCATCTGCAAACCTCTGGCCATCTTTGGATCTCCTCTGGGTAATGTAATCCCACCTAGGAGGTGTCCTGAAAATGGGTGTTCTCTTTGCCCCACTCTGGCTTAGTTGCTCTCCAAGCCTAAAATAGCAGAGCTATCATTTTTGAATTTTCTTTTACCAACCTCAGGAGATTCTCTTTGCCCTGTTTCTTAGCATCATTTATCTTCTTTCTTTGCTCTGATGGAGATACCCTCTAAGTAGGTTCCTGAGAAGTGAATGGGCAAAAAAAATTTTAAGGCATTGCAAAGCCTAAACAATTATTCTTCTTTTGTGCTTGATTTGGCTGGGCATAGAATTGGGTTGAAAATTTTCTCTGAGAATTTTTTACATCCTAGCTCTGTTGCCGTCTAGCTATCAGTATTGCTACTTGAGAAGTACAGTGCTGTTAGGACTGCACTCCCCCCATCTCCAGCTTGTAGAGGTTTTAAAAATCTTCCCCTTTTCCCTGGTGTTCTGAAATTTCAAGATGACGTTGTGTGGTTAGTCATGTATAAATACCTCAGTGTATACTTCTAAGGGAAAGACTTTTGTGTTCAGACAGCTTGGTGGGGTTGTTTAATCTGAAAACTCATGTCTTTCATTCAGGAGATTATTTTGTATTACTTTTTTGGTGTTATTTCCTTCCCTTCATGTTCTCTTTTTTCTCTTTCTGGATTTTCCCTTACTCAGATGTGGATTGTTTTTTACTGATCCTCTAATTTATCTTTTCTCTCCTCTTCCAGTCTCTCATTTCCTCACCTTTTTTTGCTTAAATTCTGGGGGGTTTTTCAAGTTTAACTTTTTTTTTTTTATTATGTTCAGTTAGCCAACATATGATATATGTACTCATCATTAGTTTTTGACGTAGTGTTCAACAATTTGTTGGTTGTATATAATACCCAGTGTTCATCACCACAGGTGCCCTCCTTAATACCCATAGCCCAGCTTTAGCTTTGAAATAATTTTTTCCTGCTATCACATTTTTAATTTTCAAGAATTTTTTTCTTATTCTCTGAATCTTTATTTTTTAAAAATTTTTTATTTTTTTTAAAGGTTTTACTTATTTATTTGGCAGAGAGAGAGAGACAGACAGAGATCACAAGTAGGCAGAGAGGCAGTCAGAGAGAGAGAGGGAGAAGCAGGCTCCCCGCTGAGCAGAGAGCCAGATGTGGAACTTGATCCCAGGACCCTGAGATCATGACCTGAGCCAAAGGCAGAGGCTTAACCACTGAGCCACCCAGGCGCCCCAATATGAATCTTCATTTTAAGTTATAAAATACTTCATAAGTCTCAAGGAATATATTTGAAATATATAGAATATATATATTATATATACTATATATAGTATAATAATACACATTTACCTACCCCCTGATTTGTGACAAAGAACATAAACCGATGGGTTCCTTATCTTTCTGCTTGCATCTTCTCTTTCCTCTCCCACCCAGACAACCAGAATCCTGCATTTTATGTCTTATTTCTTTCTTTTCTTTTTTTTTTTTTTTGGTTCACATGTATAAATTCCCAAAAAATATAATGTTTAATTTTTCAAGGTTTTGAACTTATAAAATTATACCATAAAGTTATTGAAATACAACTTCAAGAAATTAAAAAATAAATTTGTGATAATTGCTATTATGTACTTCTTGGTTAATGCTTCAGTAACAAAATTACATTTAAAAATCACAAAGTAAAACTTTAATTGTACTTAATTATATATGGAATTAAAACTTTTATATTATACTACTAGGCAAGAAGAGGTTTTCTAAGAACACCAGGATTCACCCTTTTTGAGTTAATCTCTAGTTGTAGACCACTCAACTGTTTTGTGGCTGAGTAATTAGTTGGCCCAGAGGTGGTTGCTCAACAGGTGACAGTACAGACCAGAAGAATCCACAATAATATAGACAGACTGCAGCCATGTGCAGTTCAGTAGTGAACAAATAACTAACAATTTCAAAGTAGCAAGGAGTGTCAAAAACATTTTGAGATATTCACAGCAGCTGTCATGGAATGCTAAAACTTTTGTGATTTCTTTGAGAGAGACGTAGGTGCCACTAATACTACTTTGGTTTGTTGCTCATATTCATAACTGAAATTTAGCATTTCCTTCAGTTAGCAGTTATGAAAATAGAGAAGTAATTGTTTTTCACCACTCAGGTTCATGGTAACCCTGGGTCTTAGTTGGGCTTTCTCAGGAAGCAGATCCCGAGACAAGGGTTCTGGTATAAGTAATAAATAGGGGGAATGATCACCAAGAAATGTCCTGGATTTGAGGCAGAGAAATGAGGGTGCTTCAGAAAGGGTACATTATCATGCAAGTGATTAACAAGCTTGGATCTGAGTACCTCTGGGAGCCAGTGTTCCTCAGAACATCATGCTCCTCACACATGTCCCTCAGACACATCTGTTGTTGGTTGGGGGCTAGCTAGGGCAGGGCATTAATTCTCAGCAGTCAAAAGCAACTCCTGGAAAACCACAGGCAAAGATACATAGATGCCATCAGTTAGAACTGGCACACTAAAATGCTAAGACATGAGAGGAAACAGGGTATATATCAAAAGTATCTTATAAATCTTGACTTCTATCCATCGGCCCCTTGACTTAGGGGACCTCAGGTAAAAAACCCAAGACCTAAAATCTGGACATCTGTGGTTTTGTTTTGTTTTATTTTGTTTTATCTTCCACATTTATTCATGTGGAATAATTTTTGGATATGGTTTGAGGGAGAGGTCCTTTGATTTTTTTTTTATATATGGATAGCCAGTTGTCCAGCACAATTTATTGTCTCTTCTTTCTTCATTGTTGTCCAGCACAATTTATTGTCTCTTCTTTCTTCATTGCTGTGTATTACCACTTTTGTCATAGACAACATGTAATGTCCATATTTGTGTGGGTCTGTTTCTGGGTTATTTTCCTCTCACTGGCCTTTTCTTTTTTTTTTTTTTTTTT